AATAAGGTGCATATCGGCTCGCCGGACGAGGTAGTCCTGACTCGCCCGGATGTTGCGCACGTGCTTGTTGCAGAAAAGGGCCCACCATACTGCACCACATGTACGACGCACACACCTTAGGGATCAGATGCTTGTCGGCGCGGCGCACGAGGTAGTCCTGGATGGCGCGGATGTTGCGCATGTAGCGCACATACTTGTTGCGCCGCGGGTCCAGCGTCATGTACTTGGCGCGCACCGCAAACCGCTCCATGTGCTTCGCCTCGTTGCCGATGTAGATGACAAACGGGATGATCGTGGGGTGCCGTTTCAACAGCTCCATCTGCCATGGTATGGCATGGGGGATGGAGGTGGCATGGGGAATACAAGGGTGAGCCACAGGGGGTCCAGCGTCATGTACTTGGCGCGCACCACAAACTGCTCCATGTGCTTCGCCTCGTTGCCGAAGTTCATCACAAAGGGAATGATAGAGGATGCCGCTTCAGCAGCTCCATCTGCCATGGGGAGGCATGCGGATGCAGGTGCCACGTGGGATGCAGGTGCCACGTGGGATGCAGGTGCCACGTGGGATACAGGTGCCATGTGGGATACAGGTGCCACGTGGGATGCAGGTGCCACGTGGGTGGGATACAGGTGCCACGTGGAATGCAGGCAACCCTAAAGCGCACCACAAAGTTGAGGCTGAGGTGAACGCCCTCCACGATGGCGGACTCATGGCAGCGCTCCCACTTGCACAGCAGCTGCTCCACACTGCCTATCACCATCTCACTCTGCGCCTTGTACCCCTGAATCACCATCTCCCTCTCACTCACCCCCTCCCTCTCACTTACTGCCTCCATCTCACTCACTACTTCCTTCTCACTCATTGGCTCCTTCCCATTCACAGCATCCATCCCACTCCCCAAATCTCTCCCTTTCCCTCCACTACCTCCTTCCCCACTCCTCTCCCTGTCCAAACCTGTCACGCTTGGCCGACCATCCCAAACCGCCTCTCCCATCTCCCTCTCATCCCTCCCACCCCCACCTCCCCCTGTCACTGCAGCTTCTCCCCCGTTGTTCCCTTCTCCGCCTATTTGCCCTCCCCCCACCCGACCCCCCAATCCTACCGCGCCTCTGCTCTCACCAGCGCCCAGATCCACAGCGCCCTGCATCTCTCTCAGATCCACAGCGCCCTGCATCTCTCTCAGCCGCACCTGCCCCCCAACCTCCCCAGCTGCCAGCCTCCTCTCCCGGCCTCCTTCCCAGTCTCGCTGTGCTGCGGCAGCCTGTGTGTCCGCCTGTGCGCCGCCGTGCTTCCCTCCCAGCTTCTCCGCCTTCTTCCTGGCCTTGGCATCAGCAACAGCAGCGGGGTCGAGGTGTTCGCCTGCCTGGTACGTGGAGGCATACAGCAGCGGGTTGGCCTCGCGGCTGCTGAAGCCGCGCATCATGTGGCGCAGCGAGTCCGTCGACACCACTCTTGTGATGCCCAGCCGCGACGCCTGCCGGGGAGGGGGGAGAGGCGTACGGGAGGGGGCAGTGGGGGGAGGGGGGGTATGCAAGAGCGGAAGGCAGTTTGCGAGGCATGGCAGTTCTCTGGACTGCTGAAGCCACGGATCGTGTGGCGCACGGAGTGGGTCGACGCCGCCGTGATGCCCACCCGTGATGCTTGCACCGGGGGGAAGGGGGGGCAGGAGGGAGCATGTGAGCGAGGTGCCTTTGTCACCGCATATGCACTTAATGCGTATGCAATAACAGTAGAATGATGGTATAGAGTGGGCTTCATACTAAGTCCATAGGAAGATGAGATAGGAAGAAGAATATAAGTAATAGGTGTAGAATGTAGCGAAGTTACTGTTAGGAGCGAGGGTGTAGAAGGGGGGAAACAGGATAAGAGCGGTTGAGATAAAAAGGGGGAAAGACTCCGAAGGGTGAAATGTGAAACCAATGAACCCCAACCCCGAGCCGCAATGTGCAGCCAGGGGTGGGGTAAGGTCACTCACCTCCAACCCATCGATGCTTTCTCGTTGTTATTCTCTTACACTAGTGAATCTGATTGTCTCAGGCTCTAGCACACGACAGCACGACACTAAGAGGGAACCTACGAGGTGAGAGACCAGGCTCTTTCATGTGGGTAAGTGAGGCTGTGCAACAGGGAGGAGGAAACAGGAGAGTCAGCATGAGAAGAACAGGTGCAGGAAGAAGAGCAGGTGCAGGGTGAAGAGCAGGTGCAGGGTGAGAAGGAGGTGCATGAAGAAGAGCGGCGGCTGAGCGGAGGAAGGTTCTCCGACACCTTCCCCGCTGCTGCCGCCGCCCATGGTGCGTGCGGCATGTGAGGGAGGGAGCATGTGAGGGAGGGAGCATGTGAGGGAGGGAGCATGTGAGGGAGGGAGCATGTGAGGGAGGGAGCATGTGAGCGAGGTGCCTTCCCCGCTGCTGCCGCCGCCCATGGTGCGTGCGGCATGTGAGGGAGGGAGCATGTGAGGGAGGGAGCATGTGAGGGAGGGAGCATGTGAGGGAGGGAGCATGTGAGGGAGGGCGCATGTGAGGGAGGGAGCATGTGAGGGAGGGAGCATGTGAGGGAGGGAGCATGTGAGGGAGGTGGTGGACCCGAGAGGCATAGGCGAAGAAGGATGAATGGCAGTCACGCGAGAAGGAAGAATGGGGGGTGGGGAGGGGGAGGCAGAGAGGGAGGGAAAGAGGGGGAGTGAAGAGGGAGGAAGGGAAGGAGGGAAGGAGGGGAGGAGGGAAGGAGAAGGCAGAGCAGAGAAGGCAGGTGTGCAGCATACCAGGAGGGAGGCGAGGGTGGACTTGCCACAGCCGCTGGCGCCACACAGGAACACCGTCACTGACATCTTCCTCTCACGCACCCTGCATGGCAGTAGCAAGCAGCAGCACACAAAGCACGCAATTCCACCACAACGGCCGTGACAGATCAAAAGAACTCAGTAATCTTTACAGTGTGGGCAGCGGTGCAGTGCAACAGTGCAGTGCGGTGCAGAGCGGTATGCAGGGGCTCACTTGCAGGCGAGGGCAAGGTCACTGCGCTGGTCAGCGCTGACGTAGCGATACTCCGCGAGCGCCTGAGACACCAGAAACAGTAGCGGTACAGTGCGGTGCGGTTTAGTGCGGTGCACTCACTTGCAAGCGAGGGCGAAGTCGCTGCGCTGGTCGGCGCTGAGGTAGCGATACTCCGCCAGCGCCCGGCACACCACGTCCAGAAACGTGCTGCGCTTCAAAGACACGCTCACACCCCTGACTGTGTCCCCCCCGCCCGCACTCGACCCCCCTGCTGCTGCCCTGTTTTCTGTCCGCTCGTTATTGTCACGGCCGTTATTGTCAAGGCAACTGTGATTATCATGGCTGGCGCTGGTGGCCAGAACAGCGCCGGAATCCTCTCGGTTTGGCCTGGCCAATCGCTGGGTACCGTCGAATCCGTTTGCCATCCGTGATCGGTGCGCCACGTCCGTCCGATGGCCGGAAACTCGCCGGCTGGTGACTTGCTGCAGCAGCATCTGGAAGACGCGCTCGCTGATCTGCGTGTGTTTGGTGAGGGAGAGGAGCGCAAGTAAGAGAGAAAGAGAGGACTGCAAACGTGAAGGCGAAACCAAAAGAACCGAGAATGTCGTGGGTGAGGGAGGAGGTATGCGCAGGTCCCAGTAGGTATGATATGATCTCACGGTGCAACACGGACCGGTCACACCCTGACGGCGTGGCGCGTCTCACCCTGACGGCGAGGCACGTCTCACCTTGACGGCGTGGCGGGACTTGCACCCCATGAGTTGCAGCGTGCTGGACAGCACCGACTTGGTGTAGCGCACCGCCGCACGCGCGCCCTTTCCGCCTGCCTCGGCTGCGAGTTTACTACTACTCCCCGCGCGCTGCTGCTCCCCGTCGTCGTCCTCCACGAGTACGTACAGCAGCTTCGCCAGCACGCCCATCGCTGCTGCCGCGCGAGTATGTACTCCGTCTCAAGGAGTGAAACGAGCGATTTTAAATCAGCCGTCCGACGTCAGGGAAGAGGCTGGGGATTTGCGCAGAAGCTTCGCCTTAAGACGCGCATCGCTCGTGCTGTAACAAACCTCCGCAATTTTACCACCTCCGGAGATGATCAATTCGGGACACGATGGCAGGAAGCTAGTAGTACAGACGAGGTGGTGAGGAAATGGCTAAAGGAAATGGCTAAAGGAAGCCTCAAGTAGCACGATTCCGATCACGAGGGCGAGAGGGGGTTCTACGAGTCGGAGGGAGGTGCAGCATCGAAGAGAACGAGCTGATGCGTGACGGCTCGGAGCCTCGTGTGTGTGGAGGCGGTGCATGCTGCTGACGCCTGGCTGTTGCCATGGCTGCCGCGGATGCACCACAAGCACACGGCAATCCCAAGGCGCAGTAATAGTCGAGCAAGGCGGCAACCTTTCGAGTCAATATCACCAGTTCGGTTCGTTTTTACCTGTAAAGTGTGAGCTCTATCCAGAATGGAACATCTGGCAACTGTACCAATTGGACGTACCGAGGCGTCACAAGCACTTAAGGACGGTACGGTAGGATGTAAGGGGAAACTTACATGGTTCGAGGTCTTTTTGGGGTACGGTATGTGTTGGCCAATGGATCCATCGGCACCGCAGACGGGAGGCACCAGGACCGCCATGGATTCTACCTTGAGCGCTTCGGAAGGCCCAATGTCCAGTGAATCCTTACCTGATGGGGCTTTAACACGGTTCTCCGGATTCCTTGCATCGAGATGGATAAGTGACATAACAAATTGTGTTCATACAGCGAACATGTTTAAGGCTTATCAAACTCCAGTGGATCCCGAGGCTGTAAACTACCAAGGAACTTTTTTCAGTGCTCACTGGAGTTTCCCTAAGAGCAACGCGCAACGAGAATCCCAAGACTCAGTACTTCGGTTTTCTGACAATGAAGACATTACCAAGGACAATACTCCGATGGACCACCCAACATATAAGTGGTTTCCTATTATTATCAAGCAACCAGATCACACTTGTCAGCAAGCAGAAGCTACAATCATGCCGCCAAAGTCACGTGCTAAGAAGGCCAACGCCAAGGTTGCTGCTCGTAAGCAGCCGTTCAGTGCACCTGTCACGCCAAGGAGGGCTGATGGAGCTCTAAGCAACGACAATGCTGCTGATACGCCGATAACGGGCCCTATTCATGTGGATCGCCCAGAGTCTTCGTCAATAGCCGCTGCCAGGCTGTCTGCACTGAAAGGGAAGGGACACGCGGAAGAAACAGTCAACAAACAAGAGAGTCTTCGTAAGCCGGAGATGCCTGAGTCAATGTCGCCGGATGCTGAGGCTGACATGGAGTTCCCTGAAGAGGAAGAAGACGTAGACGCTGATGGATCTGGTTATCTCAGTGACGACTCGGATGAAGGAGCTGACCCTGTCATGGCTGGTCTTGTTGCTGCACATATCTGTTATACGCTAACCTTGCTGATCCCAGATAAGCACATTGAGGAGGTTCCTCGTACCATGGAATCGGTCATGGCGCACCTGGTCCACTGGAAGAAGGAACTCTCTGCTGATGCGCCTGCAACAACGAAGTTTCAGAAACTCCAGCCGACTTACCTGTCGAAGGAGCGCTTTGGTCGTGTTCAAGTCACCTTCGTCCATGAGAAGGATGCTGCTTTTGTCTGGAAGCATGCTGTTGCTCATGACTGCCTTAACGGTACCTCTCTGAAGTTGACATGGCAGTTTCCAGAGAATGCGGATTATGTGCGCGCTCGCTCCCTCCACCCGAACGCCTTTGAAGTGGTGCTGAAGGGGGTCCCGGCAGAGCTGACTCCGGAGCGAATCCGCAAGTTCCTGGTGATGGTGTGGTTGGTGAAGAGGGGGAAGACACCGTTTAAGGAAGGTTATGGTTTCCACCGCGTGCAAGATCCGGTGTTAGGGATGGACACAGACAAGATTCTTGGCCTTCTCATCCAGCACGAAAACGATCTCTACCGCTGGCGTCACTTCATCGTTGACCCTGCTATGAATGGGAAGAAGCTGCTGCTGCACTTCCCCTCGCTCAACTGTGACTACTGCAACGGCCATCACATGACACGCTACCACGACGACTACGTCACTGACCGTCAGGCCAACATTGTTAAATGGAACCTTACGGTTAAACGTATTCATGAAGTTAACGGTACTCCAGCTCTCTCGCCATACACTAACTGTCTCGCCTTTTTCACCACGCATGATTCTGACCCCCCTCCCTCTCCCACTCCTCGCAGCGGCCTCGCTAAAAGTCACAGATTCACTAAAAGTGACTCTGCTCGACCCGGCCATTGTTCTCACTTGAACTGGCGGATCACGCGAAGATTGGATCTGTGTCATAGATGCCTGCGGCAAGGCACACGGCAACAGTCTCGAGCTTGCAGCCGCTCATGTCGCCTCTGTTCGCCACACAACCAACCTGACCATGGCGGGTGCAGCTACGCGCAACAGCAAGGGAGCGATCAATGTCGCGGCCCTCCGAAAGGAGTTCCTCAAGGGTCCTGCCAAGGAGTCAGGGGGAAGTTACCCGTGGAAGAGAACATACTGGAGGACAGCCTTCAGAAGTATCATGAAGTGATTGTATGCGGAGCTGTGATTAGTATCTCGGTAGCATCTGCTGTGCTGTGCGGCTTAGTGCTTATAACAAGAGTTCTGGATCGGTGGATCGCTGTAACACTAACATCGAGAGCTGTGAAGCGGATCTCAACGCTGGTAACTTCTACCCCGTGGATGCGAAGGGGGTCTCACCAGTGGGTCAATGAATAAACGGCAAGAACTCTGCATCACCGCGCTCAATGTGAATGGGATAGGAAGAGCGGTGAAAAGGGAGAACATGCACGACTGGCTCAGGAAATCAAAAGGAGTGGTTGTACTCACAGACACGAGACTTCAGGCAGATCACAATTTCTGGACCCAGATTAAGGCAGAAGCAGCTGCAGTAGTGGACCCAGGTGGTGCAGCAGGCGGGGTTGCGGTGCTAAGTTTCAACAGCGAGGTTAACTTTGGTGGTGTCCAACGGCATGCATCAGGACGTCTGTTAGCAGTATCGCTGAGCTGGAGGGAACTGTCATGGACCTTGGTAGCAGTGTACCTTCCTGCGCAAGCAACATCCAGAGGGAGTTTTTTCAGGGACTGCTTAGCCCCGTTTGTAGACTCATTAACGCATGTGGGACATGTGCTCCTTACAGGAGATCTCAACATTGTGGCCGACCCCATCATGGACAAGACGTCGAGGCAAGGCTCGGATGCGGAAAACAGGAGGCTCCTGCACATATGCTCTAAGTGGGACTTACGTGATGTTTTCCGGACGCTGTACCCATCGCGACTGGAATACACCTTCTTAGCAAGGCCAACGTTGTCAAGCTCCCGCATAGATCGCGCTCTGGCATCGTCCTCCATGCTTCCGCTGGTAGCTGATGCTTATCACTTGGCATCGCCGCCCGACGTCACGGACCACTGGTTTGGCATCACCACAGTACTGACCGCGCAGACAAGAGAGGCGCAGGGCCCGGGGCTATGGAGGATGCATGCGGATCAGACGAAACACCCAGGGGTACGGAACACCATCCGGCAGGTGCTGTCGGAGCAAGGTGGGACCGGCAAGCCAGACCTGCACTCCACACTCGCAGGGCTGCAAGCCAGCCTCAAAGCTCACGCAAGGGAGGAAAGAAAGAGGATTGGAAAGACAATAGCACATTTGGAGGATAGGGTGGCAGCACTGCGACAAAAGTTTATGGCGGACTCGAGTCAAGGAGGGAAATATGCGGAGCTGACCAAGTACGAGGCACAACTCAAGGCGTACCGCGATAGCCAGCGGAGGCGGAAGCAAACAATGGCAGGGATTGGTGCGGAGATGAACGGCGAAATCGCGAATAAATTCCTAACTCAGAGGATTTCTTCGCGAAAGGCGAAAACGGCGATCAAGGAGATTGTACATGACGGCAAAAAATACGAAGGGGAGAGGGAGGTCTTGACAGCGGCATCCGACTTCTACGCCAAACTTTTTGGAGCAAAACAGCAGGTGGCGGAGTTGGAAGAGTGGCCGATGGACCCAACGAAAACACTGAGCGCGGAAGCAAGGCAGGGACTCATAGCACCCTGGACAGAGAAGGAGGTTAGACGGGCGATGCGAGAACTGCCAAGGGGGAAAGCGCCAGGGGCAGACGGCCTGACGAAGGAACTGCTTGAAGACAACTGGGACTTGCTGGGGGAGTCGGTAATGGATTTCATGAGAGGCTTTGAAAAAACAGCGGAGCTGCCAAGGAGCGCGTCAACGGCAGTGACAATCCTGTTGCACAAAAAAGGGGAGAGGACGGATCTGGGGAATTACAGGCCCATCACCCTGCTAAATGCGACGTACAAGATCGCGGCGAAACTGCTTGCGAACAGGATGAAGGGGGTGCTATCTCAGGTCATCTCGGAGAATCAATTCGGCTTCGTCTCGGGCAGGCGGTTGGCGGATGCTGTTAAAGTAGTAGCGGACACTATTGACGCAGCAGTGACAGGAAAAGAGGACTAGTACTTACTGCTTGTAGACTTTCAAAAAGCCTACGATTCGGTGTTGCGAGCCTTCATGTTTCGCACCCTGGAGCGTATGGGCTTTCCGAAGGCCTTTGTGGAATGGACCAAGGGACTGCATGACCACGCGGCGACGCAACTGTTGGTCAATGGATGGCTGGGTGAGCGGGTGGAGGTTGAGTCGGGAGTGCGGCAAGGATGCCCACTCGCACCTTATCTCTTCATCTGCGCAGCAGAGCCGCTAAGTCAGGAAGCGGAACGACGGAGACTAGGATTATGAAAGAGGGGGAAAGGTGGCTTGGCATACCTTGGGTATGCGGACGACACAACGCTTCTGCTCCGTGGGAAGGAGCAGCTCAAGAAGGCGCAGAGCCTCTTGGAGGACTTCAGTGACAGATCCGGATTGCACGTTAACCGAGGGAAATCCACGGTGATGCCACTGGGTAGGAACAGGACGGGCAAGCCACCTGCAGATGTGCACTACAACTGGGCGGAGAGGGGGACACCAGAGAGATTACTCGGCATCTGGATAACAACAGATGGGAGAGCGGAGCCTACTTGGGAAAAAGCCCTGGTCAGGGTGAACGTCATACTTACCAATTGGGAGAAACTTCACGTTACAACGACGGCAAGGGTGACGGTGCTGAACACCTATGTGATGCCAGTGGTGCTTTTCCAAGCACAGGTGTATCAGCCGCCGAAGCAGATATGGAAAAAGATACTGAAGCTGTGCCGCAACTTTATCTCGAAGGGATGTGCAGACGAGGAGAAACACTTCATCCTTTGGAGTGAACTGCTCGCGCACATGGGGAGAAAGGAGGGAGGTTTGGGGGTTATTAGCCCAAAGGAGAGGGTGAGCAGCCAAGCGCTGTGGAATCTGGGAGCGGCGTTGTTAGAAGGGAACCCGATGAAACAGTGGCTGCAAGACAGAGCGGCAAATATGCCACTGGGCTGGGCGACATTGCTGGCACACAAGGCAATACTAGCGGAATGGACGTGTGGGAGCGGGCGCTGGAAATCACTTACACCACTCGTGTGGGACAAGCAGCTGCCGGAGCTACCGGAACCTGCAAACCGCTGGGAGATGGCGCGGGAGCAGCTCTGGTTCAGCCGCTGGATACACTACCAGGGGAACAACCCTTTTGGCAGGCAGAAAGGCTCAGAATGCCTGGGGGGGTTGACGGTGGGTGACCTGCTTCAGGAAAGCTACGCAGGGGAGTGGAGTGTCAAAGACATTTGGACGCTGACAAAGCAAACTGGGAGGTCGGCCACTGCGAGATGGGCACTCAGGGCCTGGGAAGCGGTACCGGACAATTGGAAAGCGAAACTTCTGGAGAGAATCTCGCCCGAAGCAATTGCGAAAACCTCCACGGTGGTTCAACTGGGCAGCGGGGTGGAGGGGAATCGGTGCTATTTCCAAGTAGGTCTGTCGGAGGCCAAGGAGCTGTGCTGCGAAGCGGTATCTGTGGACAGCGAGGGAAAAGTAAAAAATATGGGAAGGAGCGCCCAGACGCCGGCGAGACTAAGCGTGCTAACCCCGATGGTGGTTAGGGACGGCCGGGTACTGGGTCAAGTGGGCGACCCTCTTACGCGACTGCGTGATTCGTACCTATGTGACGGGAAGAAGCCTACGGCGCAGAAAAAACTGAGGCATCTGCTTAGGAGGCCAACCACGCAACCAAAGCAGCAGAAGAAGTGGGAAGAGACGTGGGGGAAGAAGATTGACTGGGGGAGAGTCATTTCGAAGAGAGACTCCCTGGCGGTCCCAGCGAAGGCACGAGAGATCCTACTGAGGCTGCACAGCAACAACCTACAAGTGGGGAGTAGGGTTGCCTTTCTTGGACCACATGCATGCTGCCCATACTGCGGTCAGGAAGAAACACCAACAAACTGCCTGATGAAGTGCCCGGTTGTTAGCGGGGTGTGTGGCGCGCTTCAGGACTCACTCCGCTTGATCAATCCGGGGAGGCCAACGGGGACACTGGAAGAGCTACTATTCGCTGGAGACAGCACGTCGTCCGGTTTTCCAGAAACCACTCTCATCGCGGTCACTTTCAGACACATCTGGCTGGAGCGATGTGATGCAGTGTTTCGGAAAACGTCTTTCGAACCTAAACGGGTGGTTGGGAGGATTGGAGCCAACTTCATGCGGCACGTTTGGATCTACAGCGAAGGGCTGCGCATTACTGGTAACCCGAGGAAAGATAAGGGCAATGGGAGGTGGCAACACCTGCCATTGGAGGAAGAGAAGGCCCTGGAAAGAGTTTGCGGAAGTGGAGAGATGATGACGTGGAGCGAGGAGTTCAAGTCCATCTGGGAGAGACCTAGTACTTTTTTCAAGCCACCGTAGGGTGGCACAGGGGGACCAGGGTAGGCCAAGTTAGGTCTGCCTGTGCTCCTCCTGCCCTCACCAGTTACGACTGTGGGTGTATGCATTGAATAGTGTAATACATCCCTAAAAAAAACAAATAAAAAAAAAGCACTTAAAGCCCGAGTACAGCATGGTATTTTTCAAGTTCAAGATTCTTGAACTTGAAGTCGTAAATAACAGGGTTACCCTCTTTTGTTTGAAAGAACTCTCGCGACCCAGGGAAAACTTAGTGCGACGGTCACTTCTGATTGGTTTCTGTGCCCAGTCGCACAACACATCCGAACATCGCCTACCATGTTGCCGTGGTCACCTCTCACATAACTTGACGACCAAGTGGTACTCCTAATCCACTAGAGTAGGCACGTAACTAAAAAACGCGCGGCACAGCGATAGAAGCTAGTTTAGGTAGAAGCGTTTTTTTCCTTCCAGCTCTCGTCACTCCCGCTATCTTGCCAATAGCTGAGGAGCACCCGCTTCAAGCCAAACACGCTATTACCGTACCATTTTTGCATGCCAGCGACGGGACACCCGTTCTAGTGCACCACAGTCATGGGTCGGCAAAGGCTGCTGGTTACCTCCAATACAACGCCCGTAACGCATTGGCCAGCATAGCATGGCCCGCCCAACAAAAACTTGGCTTCAGTCTGCCTTCAGGCGTCATCCTCGCCTCGTCCAGACTCCCACACTTAGTATGTGGCGAGTGCATCACCTCATCGCACGTGCTTCCCTTGCGATTCCCTCAACCCCACGTTACGAGAGCTTCTGCACTCGCGCATGCACTCGTCGCCCGCGCGTCCCTCGTCGCGCAATGTTTCACTCGTCGCAAGCGTTTCCCTCGTCACGCCAGGTTGTCCTTGTCTCCCACGCTCACCCGCGCTTCCCACGCTTACCCACGTTTCCCGCGCTCTCCAGCGACACCCGCGCTTACCCTCGTCACCCGCGCTTACCCGTGTCATCCCCACTTACCCGCGCTTATCCGCGTTTCCCGCGCTTACCCGAGGTCACCCGCGCTTACCCGCATCATCACTGCCCGCGTCTCGCACTCTTTCCCGCGTCTGAAACGCTTACTCGAGTCTCCCGCACTTACCCTCGTCTCTTGCGTTGCTCCTCAACGCCCTCGCCTCCCGTTGTCGCCTCAGTTTCCCCCATCCACACGCATCTCCCCTTATCGCCCATGTCTACCCAAGTCGCCACTCCCCGTCGTTAGCGAAGGCCCCCACACACCACTCGCATTCTCCCCATTTGTCCGCCTCCTTTCCCCCCCACACACTACGCGCATTTTCCCCCACTTGTCCGCCTCCTTTCCCCCCCTCACACCACGCGCATTCCCCCCACTTGTCCGCCTCCTTTTCCCCCCCTCACACCACGCGCATTCCCCCCACTGGTCCGCCTCCTTTCCCCCCCGCACACCACCAGCATCCCCCCCACTTGTCAGAGGGCGAGAGACAAAGTGGGAGGGACATAGAGGAAGGGAAAGAGGGGGAGTGAAGGAGGGGTAGGGACGAAAGTGCAGGGACGAGAGGGGAGGGATAGTGGGGGAGGGACAGAGGGGCAGGGACAGAGGGGGAGGGACAGAGGGGAGGGAACGAGGGGGAGGGACAGAGGGGGAGGGACAGTGGGGAGGAAAGAAGGGGAAGGACAGAAGTGGAAGTTCAAGGGGGAGAGGGTGGAGGACAGATGGGGAGAGACAGAGGGGGGAGGTACAGGGGGGGGGACAGGGGGGGAGAGACATAGGGGGAAGGGCAAAGGGGGAGAGACAGAGGGAGAAGGACACAGGTGGAGTGACAGATGGTGAAGGGCAGAGGGGGGGAGACAGAAGGGGATTGACGGAGGGGGAGGATAAGAGGGGGAGGGGCACAGAGGGGGAAGGACAGAGGGTGAGAGCGGGTACTTCCCTCACTCCCTCTCCTCGTCGACCTCACTTCCCCAGGCTTGTTTACACCCCTCTTTATTTTGACCATCCTCCCTTTCTCCCACCACCTCTGTTTACCCCACAGTCTATTCTCCTTTGCCTCACCTGCCACTCCCCCCTTCCTCCTCCCTGCTTCCCCCCTCCCTCCTTCCTGCTTCCCCCCTCCCTCCTTCCTGCTTCCCCCCTCCCTCATCCATGCTTCCCCCCTCCCTCCTTCCTGCTTCCCCTCGTCCCCTCCCCCTTTTTCCCCCATCCCCTTCCCTGCTTCCCTCCATCCCCTTCCCTGCTTTCCCCCATCCCCTACCCTGCTTCCCCCCATCCCCCTCCCTGCTTCCCCCCATCCCCTTCCCTGCTTCCCCCCATCCCCTTCCCTGCTTCCCCCCCCATCCTCTCCCTCCCCATGTACAATCTCCTTTCATACTCCCCACTCCTCTCATACCCCCCACTCCTTTCATACTCCTTTGCCTCACCTGCCACTCCCCCCTTCCTCCTCCCTGCTTCCCCCCTCCCTCCTTCCTGCTTCCCCCCTCCCTCCTCCATGCTTCCCCCCTCCCTCCTTTTTGCTTCCCCTCGTCCCCTCCCCCTTTTTCCCCCATCCCCTTCCCTGCTTCCCTCCATCCCCTTCCCTGCTTTCCCCGATCCCCTACCCTGCTTCCCCCCATCCCCCTCCCTGCTTCCCCCCATCCCCTTCCCTGCTTCCCCCCATCCCCTTCCCTGCTTCCCCCCCCATCCTCTCCCTCCCCATGTACAATCTCCTTTCATACTCCCCACTCCTCTCATACCCCCCACTCCTTTCATACTCCTTTGCCTCACCTGCCACTCCCCCCTTCCTCCTCCCTGCTTCCCCCCTCCCTCCTTCCTGCTTCCCCCCTCCCTCCTTCCTGCTTCCCCCCTCCGTCTTCCATGCTTCCCCCCTCCCTCCTTCCTGCTTCCCCCCTCCCTCATCCATGCTTCCCCCCTCCCTCCTTCCTGCTTCCCCTCGTCCCCTCCCCCTTTTTCCCCCATCCCCTTCCCTGCTTCCCTCCATCCCCTTCCCTGCTTTCCCCCATCCCCTACCCTGCTTCCCCCCATCCCCCTCCCTGCTTCCCCCCATCCCCTTCCCTGCTTCCCCCCATCCCCTTCCCTGCTTCCCCCCCCATCCTCTCCCTCCCCATGTACAATCTCCTTTCATACTCCCCACTCCTCTCATACCCCCCACTCCTTTCATACTCCTTTGCCTCACCTGCCACTCCCCCCTTCCTCCTCCCTGCTTCCCCCCTCCCTCCTTCCTGCTTCCCCCCTCCCTCCTCCATGCTTCCCCCCTCCCTCCTTTTTGCTTCCCCTCGTCCCCTCCCCCTTTTTCCCCCATCCCCTTCCCTGCTTCCCTCCATCCCCTTCCCTGCTTTCCCCGATCCCCTACCCTGCTTCCCCCCATCCCCCTCCCTGCTTCCCCCCATCCCCTTCCCTGCTTCCCCCCATCCCCTTCCCTGCTTCCCCCCCCATCCTCTCCCTCCCCATGTACAATCTCCTTTCATACTCCCCACTCCTCTCATACCCCCCACTCCTTTCATACTCCTTTGCCTCACCTGCCACTCCCCCCTTCCTCCTCCCTGCTTCCCCCCTCCCTCCTTCCTGCTTCCCCCCTCCCTCCTTCCTGCTTCCCCCCTCCCTCCTCCATGCTTCCCCCCTCCCTCCTCCATGCTTCCCCCCTCCCTCCTTCCTGCTTCCCCTCGTCCCCTCCCCCTTTTTCCCCCATCCCCTTCCCTGCTTCCCTCCATCCCCTTCCCTGCTTTCCCCCATCCCCTACCCTGCTTCCCCCCATCCCCCTCCCTGCTTCCCCCCATCCCCTTCCCTGCTTCCCCCCATCCCCTTCCCTGCTTTCCCCCCCATCCTCTCCCTCCCCATGTACAATCTCCTTTCATACTCCCCACTCCTCTCATACCCCCCACTCCTTTCATACTCCTTTGCCTCACCTGCCACTCCCCCCTTCCTCCTCCCTGCTTCCCCCCTCCCTCCTTCCTGCTTCCCCCCTCCCTCCTCCATGCTTCCCCCCTCCCTCCTTCATGCTTCCCCTCGTCCCCTCCCCCTTTTTCCCCCATCCCCTTCCCTGCTTCCCTCCATCCCCTTCCCTGCTTTCCCCCATCCCCTACCCTGCTTCCCCCCATCCCCCTCCCTGCTTCCCCCCATCCCCTTCCCTGCTTCCCCCCCCATCCTCTCCCTCCCCATGTACAATCTCCTTTCATACTCCCCACTCCTCTCATACCCCCCACTCCTCTCATACTCCTTTGCCTCACCTGCCACTCCCCCCTTCCTCCTCCCTGCTTCCCCCCTCCCTCCTTCCTGCTTCCCCCCTCCCTCCTTCCTGCTTCCCCCCTCCCTCCTCCATGCTTCCCCCCTCCCTCCTTCATGCTTCCCCTCGTCCCCTCCCCCTTTTTCCCCCATCCCCTTCCCTGCTTCCCTCCATCCCCTTCCCTGCTTTCCCCCATCCCCTACCCTGCTTCCCCACCCATCCTCTCCCTCCCCATGTACAACCTCCCTGCTCCTCTCATATCCCTACACCCTTGTTCCAAACTTCCCACTCCCTTCATATCACCCACTCCTGAAATACCCACCGCTAATGTGAATTCAAATTGTCACTGTTTCGTCTGGTCCCGCTTTCCACCTATGCACTGCTTCCCACGCTTGCACCCCTGCTTTCCGCCCTTGCACCCCTGCTTCCCACCCTTGCACCCCAGCTTCCCACCCTTGCACCCCTGCTTCTCCCCCTTGCACCCCTGCTTTCCACCCTTGCACCCCTGCTTTCCACCTTTGCACCCCTGCTGTCAGCCCTTGCACCCCTGCTGTCAGCCCTTGCACCGCTGCTGTCAGCCCTTGCACTCCTGCTTTTCTGCTTCAAGAGCAGCAGCAAGTCCCTCCAGAGATCCTATAGCTGCCACTGGTTCGTCTGCTCCTACTCTGAGCTACTACCGGTAAATTTTTGAGCCCTCAAGTCGTGCGCCTTCTATCCCACCCATGCATCTGCCATGTGTTGGCAGGCTAACTGGTGTGTCGATTCCAGTACTGTGGCTCACTTCACTGCGCATTGTGAACGAGGTCCTTGTGAAATGCAAGTATAAGCCATCCTGAAGTAGTGTACATTGGATGCCAAGTGGTTACCTAGGCAATAATTTGCACTAAAGTGCCAACAGAGCTGGGCACTGACACCTTTGGAGTAAGATAATGGTGAAAGAATATCATGGATGTATCCTTTTTGGGATACCAAACAATCTAGTGCCCTAAGCAGAATGGAACATGAGCTGGATAAGGGTCTCAAGAATCGAAGCAATGGAGTAGTTTCACCGGGCTAACTTCATCCACACGTATATTGCAACTATAATATGTGCAAGTATATTTCGCAAAGAAGCATGATTAGGTTTAGGACCAAACGGCATAGTCCTCCACACACATGCAAGCATGACATGTTCAAGACCAAATTAGCACAGTGGGGATGGAAACACAACCCCATTTATTCATCCTGACCAGCCACCCACACCTCCACTTCCTCCCCGTCATAGTGGCCTGCTAGCCACCACTCATCACTATCGTCGCTCCACTCCTCCGCATCTTTGTTCACTGCGTCTGCCACATCATCCACTTGATCCGATGGCAATTCCGCCTTATCCCTCTCACAGTGGTAACCTGCAGCTATAGCCAATGAGATGGAGGATAAGCCAGAATTTAGAGTGGTGTCCCTGTAGCTATGAATAATCTCAATCGCAGAGCATGGCAGGGCATGCCTGGAGGGGGGAGGGAGAAGGGCGGAGCGGAGCATGACAGGGGAGGGCAGGGCAGGGCATGGCATGGCATGGGAGAGGCATGGCATGGCATGGGAGAGGCATGGCATGACGCGGATGGTGCAGACAAGGGCCGGGCGGGCCATGAGAAAGCAGGGCAGGGCATGCCTGGAGGGGGGAGGGAGAAGGGCGGAGCGGAGCATGACAGGGGAGGGCAGGGCAGGGCATGGCATGGCATGGGAGAGGCATGGCATGGCATGGGAGAGGCATGGCATGACGTGGATGGTGCAGACAAGGGCAGGGCGGGCCATGAGAAAGCAGGGCAGGCATGGCCCCTATAGTCATGGCATCGCAGAAAAATGAGGGTGCTGACAAGGGCGGGGCGGGGCGGGACAGGGCATTGCAGGGCAGGACATGGCAGGGCAGGGCAGGGCAGGTCAGGGCATGACAGGGCAGGGCAGGGGAGGGCAGGGCAGGGTAGGGCATGACAGGGCATGGCAGGGCAGGGCATGGTAGGGAATGGGAGATCTGAGCAGGCCAAGTTATAGCATGGTGGGCGATGGGTGTTTGTCAAATACCTTTGGGGGGGTCGATTGTCGTGGTGGGCGTCGTGGTGGTTCTGCGTGATGCCGAGCAAGCCTCGCGCGGGTTTGAAAGCTCGCCTGATATTCGCCTTGGGCACTTAGCGTGGGAGGTTCGACACATCACCTATAAGCAACATACAGATGGGTTGGAAGACGCGGATGGTGAACACATTACGCTGGCTAGAATGTTTACGTGGAGTATGAGCCATACTGAGCAATCACAACTCACGTTGCGCTGCCGTTGCTTACCCAAACGACGGCGAGCAGATCCACGAGACGTGCCGCACACCGGACCGAACCCGCCTTGGCGCACTGGTGTCACTGGCTCAAGAACAGATGCTATGGGCTGTGCGACCGATGCATCGACCAGCTGCGCAGTCGTTGCTGTTGATTCAGGCATCTTGTCAACATCCACATTATCTCCATGCCGCAGTGTTCGTTGCCATTCCTCCATGATGCCATCAACCCAAGCCCAATCCATTTTAGTCAAGATGCGCTCCTTGGATCCGCGCCTGATCCTCGTCACCTGTCGGACTCTAGTGCGATAGGCGGTCACCAGGCGATCCATGTCGTGATTCCAATGAAGAACCGCGAGACCGACTCGTGCCGGGAAGCTGCCCTGAAACCGTATCCGCTTAGGTGCATATTTGATGATCAAAGAATGGAAAGACTCGTTCAGAGAACTAGACGCGCCATGCACAAAGGACTTAACCTTCTCAGAGCTTAAGTGCTTGGAGAACCATGCACAAACCGCCTTGTGTGTCGACGACCCAAACTCATATATGGCATGGTCCTTGCCCCACCCCTCTCTGACGCAGCGAGGTGGGGTCTCTCCTACCCCAGTACAGCCGGAGTGGTCACCGGCCCAGTGGTTGGGTGGGCTCCCAAGCTCCCTCGCCACGTCGGTCGGGGTCATAGGATGCCCCTCTTTCTTCTTCGCACCACATCGCACCATCACGTGATAGAAATGAGTGGATAAGCGTTGTGCCACTGTTTGTTCCTCCTTGCCAGAATCGATATGATCTTCACCTCGTTTCCGCTTTCGGCGACCAGTCCACCGAGGTAGTGTCTCGGGCTCGCTGAACGCATTAGGGTTCTGCACTTCGGTATCAGCCCCGACTCCATCTAGCGCATCTGTGAATGTTAGAAAACGAAATACGAAAACTGAGTATAGAGTAGCACTTGGATCATGCATGCCCAAAACTTGGTAAGGGGTGTATGCATACCAGTCTCCGTGTCGGTGTTGGCCCAAGAAGTGGATCCACCGATGAAATGGGACTTTCTGTTTGCGCTAGCGTGCCCAAGCATGATGAGGGTGCTCGCCAAAGATGTCGGTCGCGCACCTAGCGTCGGGTGCACATCATAACTCCATAGCTCTTCCACGTCTTCCCATTGAACGTCAACATTCCACTCCTCCGGTGTCGGCCTGTCCACGGTAGCCCGCTCAGCTCCCTCATCCCGCTCCCGCACATCGGCATCAGAAGCACCAGGCACCTCGCCGTAGGTCACAGGCACCTCCACCGGGCTACACTCCCCCCCCATCCGCACCACCTTTCTTAGCTCGGGAAACTTCCATTTCGCCTCTTCCAGGGTCATCTTCCGGTAAACAATCGTGCCCATGGCTTTACAAACGGATTCCACCAAGTCCCCTTTCAGTGAAGCTTTCGACTCTTTCTCCAACCCCCGTGCTGTCAGCCATTGCCGTAGCCCATCGATAGTCGCAAGCCATAGATCCTCAATACAGGTCGCCTTGTCCACAGCCACTGGTGCACGGACCGCATCCTGAAGTTCTTTCAGAAATAACTTGTAAAGCGTCCGCTTCACATGCCACCAGTCCACCTGGTGGTTCAACCCCCTTTCGGACGCTGCCCCACGAAAAGTAGTCCCTTGGTCGGAGATGATCCCTTCCACCGTAAACCCTTTCTGCGCCAGTTCATCTAACCCTTTGTCGAAAGCCACCCTTTCCAGTCGCACCGACGAAGTGTCGTCCACCCCTTTTCGTGTCGTCGCACAGTACACTATCTTTCTGGACGGCAAATCTAAGAACGATACTGTACACCACTCTCCCTCACGGATATGTGACCATCGACCATCGACCACTACATATTCTGTAGGGATTTCTCGCTTCATCATCTCTTCTCGTACCGCAGCCATAGTCTTATCAGCCTCTCTCAATATAGCATTCCATAACCCATTATCATCACCAAGGTACTTGTAAAATGTGCCCTTCCCTGGCGCTGGCAAGCCGACGTTGCGACAAAACTCCCACATTTGCTGATACCCCATTCCGGCTAAAGCAAATGCCCCGACAAATTTAGACTGTAGCATCGGAGAATGCGCGCCTACACCGGTTCGTGCTCTCTCGATACGCCGGCTCGGACATGACCAAAACTCTACACCATGCGAACACGCGTCGCATCTCCAAAACATGCCGACCGATGCCCATGAGAACTTCCATGACCTCAATGTCATCCCCTCACTACACGCTTGCTCATGTGAACACACCAATCGACACCCTTGGAAGAACCCAACCAAATGTCGAGGCTCGACAAGACATACCCGTTGTCCGTCGATGTCATCCACGCTCGGAGCAGAAGGCCAGTGCCTAGGGACACTCCCACGCGCAACTGCTCGTCGGTGGCTGTTGGCAGGCCTAGTGGACACAAAGAGGAGGGGAGTTTGGACATGGATACAACGACGTGTTTGATAGTGCACAATGACATTTTGCCATATGTAGCCACCGCAACCACTACTCTCACCCTTGCACTGGCCGTTCTGGAGTCGTCGTCACACTTCGTGCAGGCGCGGCCACCGCAGTATCTCTGGGCACTCCGGAAACGCCCTCATCAGCATCCATGCCCACAGTGCCTACGGCTGGCGCATCTGGCAGTTCGCTCCCCATGACGTTGCCACTCCCTCCATGGTTGGCCCCTGAAACGTATTGGGAGTGTGGACGGGACGTCGTTTATTTCTCACGTCCAAAACAAGCCAACTTCAGATGCATCTTCCAAATCTTACCTGAATTACACGTCGCTGCAAATGCCGCGCCACGCCTGGCGCCTCCCCATGATCGACCGGAAACCTGTCGCAGTCTTCCGCGCGCATCATACTGCACCAGTGGGAAGGAGTATCTAAGACCGGCCAGCACTCGATTGGGCCGTTGATGCAAGGCTACTACATCCTCCATAGTTCCTTTCGCTCGTTCTTTAAAGATGCGGCCGTACTCTTTTCGATGTCTTTCCACAATTACGCCGGTATGAGTGTCG